AGAGGATCCCTCGGCTTACTGCCTTCTTCAGAAACACCCAAAATAGATCTCGATCACATCTTATTCCAGTGGATAAAATAACGGAATAAGATGTGATTGAGATATATTTTGGGTGTTTCTGAAGAAGGCAGTAAGCCGAAACGTCAAATAACAGGACAATAATATAGTTTTAATTGTTTTCCCCTTCCTTTTTGGGAATTTGTGATATGATTTAATAAAAGGGATTGTAAAGGATCTTTCTTAACTCTTTAAATGTATCAGGTTCCTTCAAATTAAGAAATGCTTAACTGTAAATCACAAAAGCTGCTGATTAGCGTTTAAGCAAAATTTCAAGACCCCCCCCCCCCTTACTAAATTTGAGTGGTGGAAATCAGTGTTTCCGACAATCCCTTCAATATCCATATAATCTAGAAAAAGAAATACCATATCAGATCATGGTGTGAAAAGTTACAATATTGAATCCAATGAAAATGTATATATGTTTTGAATTAATTATTTTTATAACAAGTTAAGAAATGAAATTTAAACTGACCTTGTCCATCTGTCTCAACAAATTGTTTAACAGCTCTAATCATGATCCAGAACGCTTTACTCTGGAAATTGGAAAAAAAATCAACATAACCTTCAGAGGAAAAACCAAGATAACTTGTTTAATTTTTAACACATTGCAACAGGTTTTCAGACAAATTGATAAGTCAGAGCTTTATTTCTGGTTAACAAGTTTTTTTTACAAATTCATTCTAAGCTCTATATAGGTATTTTTTTATTTTTTATTTCTAAAAGACTACTGAAACATTAATTGGTAGAAAAAAAATAAAAAGCAGATAATATATATAGCTTTTGTTGTTTTTCCAGTCGTAAACTATTAAATAACAAACAGTAAAACATTTACTCCTTTCAGATATTATCTTTAGAGATCAATATCAAAGATGAAAATATTACCTTTGGTGTCAAATTCAAACATTCTGGATCGTCAAATAATTTCAGGATTTCAGATGGTACCTGTGAACAAAATAAAAATAATGAAAAAACAAAAATCTTGTATTTTAAATACTCTTTTCATGTGAATGTTCTAAACCATTTCATTTGATAATACATGTATTTTTTTTACTTTAGAATCAATACCACCCCATAAAGCATTTTAAAGACCTTACACCTTGAATTTGAGGTAAACTATGCAGTTTCTATGAGAATGTCAGAGATGATTGTATCATAGAAACTCCAGTCCTACTGACCTTAGTGGGAGCTAGTGCAGTATTCACATGTTTTACAGCTTCATCAAAATTCTCTTCTTGATCTGGTACTCCTTCTTCATTTCTCAGAATACCTAGAATATAAAAATTTTACTGTTAATTTCTCACTCCTGTTAGGTGAGTTCACTTATTTTGCTCATACGACATACACTGGAAGTTATTAATTATGTTGGTAAGGTACCTTCAGTCTCAATGTTGTGATGATGATTTTATCATTCTAAAATGAGATTTCATCAAGTACAAGATCAAATAAAGTTTTAACATAACTTAAACATAAAGTTCCCTTCTATTATTATTAGCAAATCCAAATATCGATAAATTTCTACCCTAAATAATTTTCTATCCAAAATTTGAGATTTTACTGTTCAGAATATTAATTCTAAATTTCTATTCATGTCAGACTAGACATCACAAACCATGAATCCTACCAGAAGAAACCTTAGCTTGGAAATTTGTAAATTACAGAAAATAAAAACTTTATTGGTAAACCTTTTTTTAATTGCACATCTTAAAACAATTTCAACTGTGAATATGAAACTATTCCTGTGCATTACAATACAATCAACTTATCTATAGATCATATTTGTTAAAGTTCACACTATGATTACCTGTTTTGATTAATTCTTTTAACTGGGTCTTTTCTTTATAATTAATAGGTGCTGCACCATTATGCTGTATGAAAAAAACCCAGAAAAATATATGATTTTTTATTTCAAAAGGTCTCTTCTAAAGAAAGAATGAAGAAACTGAAGTTTAGATCTTTACAAACAATTTTTGAAGGAATGGCAAAAGTCAGATTCTATACTAATTGCTAATATCTATCCTCGTTAACAATGATAAAATCAACACATATCTTGCTGTCGATATATAGGTTTAAAACAAATAAGTAATAGACAGGATAGCTGCATTGTGTATGTGAAATGATTTAACCATGTGTAACCTTTATAACAGAATATTTGAGTAGAACCTTGTGACTTACTGTATTTTTCCATTGTTGTAAATATTTATATACAATAACTAACCAGGGGGTGTGAGAATGATCCTAAAAATAAAACAGATATTGATAATATTGAGACCTTGGCCTGTGTAGCAACAGTGGGCATTTTTTAGGACCCTTCTTTCTTACCTGAATTGCTAACCATGTTAAAAAAAATCTAAAGGTATCATCTTGACCTATGCCAATTGGCAATATCAACCATGGTTCTCTAGGTTAATGAACAAACTTTGCTATTGATTGGCTACTGCAAACAACTAAATGGAGCCTACTCGAACAAAGATATGTACATCTAGATTCAATTCAAAACATGAGAAATTCAACTCTTCGAGAGAAATAACAATAATTGAAACTTTATAAACTATCTTTTTGTGTTTATTACTACCTACCCTACCTAAAAATAAAGTGAACTCTCTGTATTCATGTTTAGAATCAAACAAAAATATACATAAATATCTTTGCTTGACACAAGAATGCTATTCCTATTTAAATATTTTCACCATTGGTAAGGTTTGTTTGAACATTTCAAATGTTAAAATCAAAGTTTAAAGTAAAAGCCTACCTTTTTAGTCATGGTACACAAATCTAGTGAATCACAGAATTGTTGGAAGGCAGGAATAGGTCTGTCTAGTCGTAGATCTTCTAGTGTATTATCTGGATGAGACTCTATCACTGTAATATATAATATTTCTATATTAATAGCTTGTTCGCAAATAAAACCTGGATATGGTGCACTATTTGGCAACCCTCAACTTTCTATTGAACTCTTTCACACATGCATACTTTCTATCAATGTGAAACTCTATATGTATCTTAGGAAGAGTGTCTTTCAGGGTGTCTTTCTGTTTTAAAATTATTGCACACTAGGTTGAGGGGACTATGTCATTTAATGCCCTTTAAGTAATGGTGAGCCAAAAGCACTTGCTGCTCCTATATTTCAGATGGAGAGAATAACTTTGGTTCCATGTAAACTTGGCTTTAATCCTGACAATCTCCAGGAACTGTTTAGTCTGAAACCCTATCTTACCTGTATGTTCTTTAAGTACAAGTCTGATATAACCAATAAAACCATAACAACGACATACTAACAATGGTACATTATATTTATATAGTAACTCTCCTAGTTTTAATAAATTTCTGTAATATAATAAACAGTATTTATTCTTATCAATAGAATAATTACTATATCTCTTCCAGCCAATTTACATAATCAGCATCAAATTATTCTCTAATATACTATATACATTAGAGATATGTGCTGTGAAATCATCAATTTTTTCAAAATATTTTGAAGTCCTATTTTTCTGCATGTTATAGGCTAATGAAGACTGGCAACACAATGAGAACATTTTGCCAAGACAGCTACATAAGCCTCTGTTTTGATTTCCATCTGTTGAGGGATCTTTAACGTGCACAGCCTATAGCATACAGGGCTCGGTTTATACTCCCATCCGAACTACTAGACACTTTTCCCATGTCAGCCCCTTCGACTTGCATCACTGACATGGGAAACTGGATAAAAAAAATTTGAAGGTATTATCTGCCAGGAGATAAGCACAAGTGAATTGTCAACACAGAATGGGTAGTCTGATGCTCACCATGAATGATGTACAACAATCAAATATTGTCAAGAGGCTAATTAGGTCCACATTGTAACATTTGCCTTATGTAATTGAGTCTTGAGAAAATATAATCAAATGTAACTTACTTTTCATCCATATTGGTTGCTATGACAATGGAAAATGAAGTGAAAAAGGATGGGTTATTCTCTATCAGGTTGGAGGTTGACTGGAAATAAGTATCAAAAATAACTTTGAAAAAGAGCAAAAGCTCCTATTCTTTAACTTTCTACAATCTAATTAAAATTAGACCAAACTCTCGTTCCATTTTTTATTACCTTATAATTTTCATTAGCAACTTTAGATAGGGTCTAATGACGACCCACTTGAACATTCATCTGTTTGATGATACCGCCAGTCAATAAAATTTCTTTCCCTTTCAACGCTGGCATTTTGTGACGAAAGCAAAAGTTGTATTAAGATAATAAACTAGTATAATGCTTCTCGTATTACAATACCTATTTGCGTCACAAAATCCCAGCGTTGGAAAGGGAAGAAATAAAATTGGAGAAACTCATTCATTTAAAAAAAAAATACTGTGCAGAAATTTATTTTTACACAAAATTTCCCTCATTATTAACTCACCTCCTCCACAAAATCTCCTACTACATCTTCATTTAATTCTGATAGTAATTCACAGGCTATCTTACCACGTGGCTATAAGAAAATATATTCCATCAATTAAAATTAAAATCTTGATATTATAGAAGAATAAAAAAAGTTACAAAGTTGAATTCATACTGATTGACGTATGATTCAAACATAAAATTCTAAATAGGGTAATTGACAGTGTTAATTCAAAATTAAATCTTTTTACTTTAAGTAATTAAAGAATAGCAGACAGGAGTTGAGAATGAGAAAATATTATATAATATAAAGACAACCTGACAATGACCTTATCTTCCTTTATGCCTTTAACATATTTTTTGGACTAAAACAATCAATCACAATCAATAAACATATTGATTTTAAATGCTTTTTACAATTGCTCAACACTTACTATTCTAAATGTAGGATTTACAATTTATAACATAGAATAAACAAGTATAAAGTATGTTTCAACTTACAGTTCCAATACTGTCTCGCAATAGAAAGAAACTGAAATAGAAAATATATAGTTCATGAAATTACATGTGATACACAATGGAACAAGTTTAGTCTGTTTTTATCAGATTACTGTATACGGTATTCTTTATGAATATTGAGATTTCCCCTCAATGGTAATAATGGTAATTATGGTCTACAATATTTCATTGTAATATTTCTGAAATAATAGTTGAGTGTATCTATCATGATGGAAATAAGGCCTATTTCTTAATAAATAATTAAATCTTGAACCTACTTGTTCCCTACATCATCTCCTTCAACTTTCTTATCATCTACTATAGTAAATGATCCAATACCTGAAATACAATTAGTCTTTGTGATTACACGATATCCTGAACAGAATATTCTACTATGAAAATTACAAACAGATCATAATCAACTTTTAATTTAGTCACAATTTTACAATGTTAAAGATTTCAGGATGAGCTGAAGTTTTACCTTCTTTTAAGATAGTTAATGCATGCATGCAGCTTTGTCCAATTTTAATGCATATAAAGAACTTAAGCCAGTTTTCAATACAGCTCTGATCAACAGAAAATCATGTAACATGGTATCTAGTAGACCGAAACATCTGTCTCTATTCCAGATGTTTCGGACTAGGTATCTAGGACTTCAATAAATATCATTATCATAGTTATCAAAATCCAAACTTTGTACAAGCAATAATATTGTGTATATCTTACCTGGTAGAATAAGATTTTTCAGTATTTCAGTTCCAGTAGCTGTAGCATTGATTAAACACACCCTAGATGATTCTAGAGCAGACTGACCATGATCACCCCATAATCTATGATAAATAACACAACACTGTTACATTCATTCAGGGGGATTGGTGATACAATAGCCTTCAAAGGTGTATGTTTTTTAAATGAATAAACCTAATTATACAAAGGCACTGGATTCTGGTCCAAAGAATAAAATATAGACCTATTACTTCATCTTTGACCTATTAGGCTATATAATAGGTATTGTTTCAGCGATTACAAGAATCAGTTGACTACATATGGCTTAATATAGCATAGGCCCTATGTTTTATCAAAAGGTACACAACTGTTACGGCAGCCCTTCTTATGATACTAGTCTATGACTTGCTTAAGGTAAGGTGGGGATGCCCTGATTATCAATACCGGTATCATGCATTTTTGTAAAGAGGTGCAGCTGCTTTTAAGTTTGTCAGGGTTAGGTTTAGGGTTTGAAACAGTTCTTTATCATATAAAACAAAATATTTATGCAGTCTGTTGTTAATATTAAAAAATATACAAATATTTCAAAATACAGCTCTGTTCTATAGCCTATTGGCATAAAATATTTTCACTGACTTCAGAGACTAAAACGGACTTGAAAATGGAGACTACACTATAAGAGACATGAAACTATCGTCTCTATACAGTTGACGCAAACAATTTCTAAGTAAACTTTGACATGCCAAAGAGCTAGATTGTGAAATCAACAGCCTCAGGTAAAACTAATGAGTATAATACCTCAACTGACGATCGTATTTGTTGTTTTTGTCGAGACCGCTTTTTGTGACAGCAGCCATGGCAAGAAAAGATAACTCTTGAATAACAGTCTAACCTCCAATTCTGGACGGTTACTGTAAGAATCTTCTATTCATAAAAAATTGTCAGTTGGTAAAGAAAATACAACCTTAGTGCAAAAACTAAAGATGTCCTAAAGGGCCTCATTAAACCTGTATCTTGCATCAGAATCGCTGACTATTGATTGTTATTTATCTGGTTTTAAAAACATTTTGAAGATCCACGGCTAGGGCTAATGAAGCCTAACCTTACAAATGATATAAGGTTTTACATCTTATTTTTTTTTTTAACACATGGAGCTCGTAAAGATGTATCTTAAAACTGCCGGCTGTTAATTTGGCAAGAGAGGCAACTTATGCAACCCTTATTTTCCACTCATAAGACACAGGAGAAATTTAGAGACAGGCAATATGAAATGTAAGGATCTAACCCTTAAGTTAATCTTTATGCTCTTATCCATAATAGACTACTTAACTGTTGATATTTCTTGTTGTTGGCAAGATCTTTTGAAAAATGCATGAACATTTTGAATCTGTTGTTTGGCTACAGCAATATAGGTCTATAGGCTACAATTCGAATTTCTTTAATCTAAATTCATTGTTAAAGTTTGTTGCCAATTGATATCATAAACGTTAATACTGGACACTTTTGTGGTAACAGGTTACTTACACACGCCCATGTTGGCCTAACATATTAGGGTTTAATTTGGTAAAAATAAAAGCTTTATTTTATAATATATGTGTTTAATAGGAAATAATGCAATGATAATAATCATTTAGTAATAAATAGATAAAATAAATAAAGGCACTAACAAAATCTTAATAAAATAATAATATATCACAGAACATTGTTTGCATCCAATATGCAAAATAGTACATTAGTTAATGTTAGTGGTTGAGTAGGCCTATAAGTTTAAACAGATAGATACTGAAATCCAATTCACATTCATGTATAGAGACAAAATTAATGCTTAGGGAAAAAATAACTATAGAAATATAGAAATACTAAAACAGAACCTGAATCAGGTTGTTACTCAGATGTACTTCAGATAATATAGAAAATATAGAACAAATTCATACATATACAGAACCTGAAACATATTGTTATACACAGTAGTAACTAGCAGCTAGTTGTAAAAGTCTGTGTTTAAGTACATGGAAGAGACAAAATTATCATAGGTTAATCTTCTATTGCTTATAACTGGAAGAAATAAATATCTTAAGTTTGTAGAAGGTAAAAATATATTAAACTTGTAGTTCAAATTTCTGGCCAAAATAATGATCACACATGAGTATAGGACAATCTGTGAATTCAACATTATAGTCATAATATAAAGTCACTTCTTGCGGAGATTCCTTCGTGTTTCCAAAATACCCACAATCCTCTAGGGAAGAATCAACAGGAAGCATGGCCTCTAAATTACGAGTTTTGTTGATAAAGACGGCTAGTTTGGTTGATAAAACATGAGTTTGCTGTACAAGTATTTCTATCAAACCATACACTGATAAATGAGAATGAACTAAGACTGATATATGACCAGGATGCTCCTTGAATGAATCAAACGTGACCAATCTCATATCAACCAATACATATCTGAAATGACAAAGCAAATTCATCAATATTTAATCCACATTAAATATGAAGACTACGATCTACTCCGTAATTAGGTTTGAAGGAAAGACTAAACCATTCTGACCACAATGTCTTACCAGAGCTCATCTCAAGTTATCAAAATGTGTTTTGTACAGGCCTTCAAAACAATCTTAGCACTAGGATATCCTAGAAACAGTGTAAGAAGTTAAGACCCTAGGACATCCTAACACTGAGATTGTTTCATGAAAATACAGCCAGTTGTTAAGTGGCAACATGCACCAGCAACATATAAACTTTTTTATGGAATTCAATTTCAACTAAGATTCCTCCATTACCTTGGATGTTTTTCTCTGTATGGCTGCCACACTCCCATCTTACAACATGGACAAGGGATTGGTTTTCTTTCTGATAAAATTAAACTGACTTCATCTTTATCTTTCTCAAGTTCTATACTTTCTTTTCTACAATATAATGATTACTTTTATCATATGGTCAAGTTAACAGTCTGCAAGGTTGAATTAAAAATTGAATTCTGTTTACCACCTTGATGTCATTAAGGCACTTTCTTGTATCATTGAAGTTTGTAAATGCAACGATTTTATTTGTTTATATTCTTAAAACCCTTGACAGAAAGACAGCAAAAAATATGGCTATGTTTGTAAGATGTAAGCATTCACATCTGCCAACATAGACGTCATTTAATCATACTTTTGGCATTTGATTGTCCATATATAATTCAACTTTAATAAGGGAGATAAATTGTATATATATTTCAAGCTTGTCAACGGGATTTGTACAACTTTCAAAGAGGTCAAGTGCCTAATGATGTCAAGGTGTAAGACAGGGTTTATAATACCTTGACATAGTTTATACAAACAAAGATGTAACAATGTATTCAGGCTGCAAAGATGAAAATCATGCAAAGGATACTCATGCCTTTTTTGATTTTTAACATCTGGCAGGTGTTACACGTTTTAACATGAAAAGTGTGACAGAAAGATGAAAGCTGGAAAAGTAAACAATCAGACAATTAAAGTTAAATACCTGACATGTTGTAAACCTTTAGTAAATTCTGTATAATCTATCTCACCACTGTCATCTTTATCTAGTAATTTAGTCAGTAGATGTAGCTCTGTTTTATTTAGTGGAATATTCAAATCAAACATACCTACAATTACCAAAAGAACATTATACTTAAACATTATGTTTCTACCACAAGGCATAATGTAGTTTTACTAAAAATTACAATGTGATGGATTTGCATAAACTCAACTGGTTTTCCAAAACCTTAAATTCTGTAAAATGTGTAAGCTTATAATAGTAATTTTAAATAATGTATACTGCATTTGACCACCCATTATATCGTCTGCGTATACAAGTTTAATCATGACAGTTACCGGTATTCTTCAAACTAATGCAGAGCTTGTGATGGTTGAAATAGAAAGGGTAAATAGTAGCTATATTAATTTTTTGCCCAAAGAAGATAGGAGTTTAAATAAACTTTGACACTTAAAAGAATGTAGGAGTGCTGATAAAATATCCTTCAAGGATTCTTTAATTTAAGGGCCAAAAGGCCTCCTATTCTTTCTTTTAGCTGCCTGGAAATACAATGAATGGAGCTGTAGAACATATTATTTTAACCAGTGACATCTATACCTACAAACTAACCTGATTTAAATTCCTCGTAAGTCAATATCCCATCTCCAGTGACATCTATTTTACTAAATAACGGAATAGCTTTTGGTGAGATTTCAATTAACCATTGATTAATTCTAGTTATTAGATGATCATAATGCACCTCATCTTCTCTTATCTTGTCTACAGCTTTCTCTAACTTTGCCTGTAATATTTAGTTCCATCAGATAATTACTATTAGCCTTCAGAATATCTAGGACAAATTTGAGCTTCCTTTAAAGGGATATGTAAAGAGGTTTTATAAATTTTTTTATGTGTATCAGGGACACCGATCAATTTGCTATCAGACAATTGTGCTTCCTATGATTCTATTAAAACTTAGTATTTGATGACAAAACTATTCTCAATGTATGCTTTATCATTAGCTTTCATCTTTTTATTAGTGATGTCATCAACCCTATTTACAATCCCTTAAACATTTTACAATGGCTATCCAAAATGTCTGTCAAAAACTCATTCAAATTCAACTGTAAATTGTAACCAAAATCAGGTTCCTATAGCTGGTGGAGCAAATATATTGGAAATTAGATCAATTTTTGCATTGGCCTACTGATATTGAAGCCTACTCAAAACAACTTAACAAGACGATTTGGAGACATTTGTTAAGACTCACTAGAGCTCTTTCAGATTTAGTCATTTTTTTCTTCTTTCCTTTCTTTTTCTTCTTCCCGCTAGAAGATGCAGCAGCTAAAACTGGATCAGTCTTCATTCCTGATACTACCGATCCTGGTTCCATATTCTCTAATTTCACATCTTCCTTATCAACTTTCGAAGATTTTAGAGATTTCTTCTTTCCTCTGAAAACAGTAATATTTTAAAATATGAATATTTCTAGAAATCTATGCAATCTGCACTAAGCTTATGTTTCACAGAATCATATTTTCACATAGAAACCAAGATCTTCACATTCAAGATTTCAAAAATTTGGAGCTGACTTTCCTTTCAAACTAAGCCTATTCTTACACTATTCAGGACTTCAATTTGAAGAGCTCAGATTTCTTGTGACTTGTGTGTACCCATATTACTAAAATCTGACAATAGTAAGTATTGACTCTAGTACATTTTATTTATCAACATCATAACAAAGTGGAAACACAAATCTGATGAAATCTAAATAAAGAAATATTGTCATCACTGACTCTGGTAAAAGTAGTAGATCTCAAATGTGAATGCATGTCTGGCTTTGAGCATTGGTCTACTAGTTCAGTTCTTAGCCTTTCATTATTGACTATTTTTAAAACAGAAAACTGGTAAATCTTACTTCTTCTTGGATCCCTTTTTAACTGGCATGATGAATTTTTTGTAGAAATATTTGTTCAACAGGAAACTCCTGCTACGTATTTTAGGGCTCCCTTACAGAGTTAACAAACTTTTTTAACAATTTGTTTACAGTATCCAGGAAAAGGGGAAATAGGAAGTGGATCAAAGGGGAATAATTCATCTGCTTACAGCAGAACCTGTATAATCAGGACAGTCATAGTGATGCTTGTGATAAATAATTTACATTGCTCGAAATATATTTTTGCTTTCATACATGAGCTATTTATTTCTCAAAATATGAAAAGACTTGTTTGAGAAGTTTGATATTATATAGACTTCTATATATGACTATTTAATTACACTCTTTAAATTACTTTTTATTTTGGAAAAAAGAAAATGATAAAAAGTGAACACAATTCTAAATGAAATCCATCAATGCCATTCATGAAGAGAAAGTCAGAAAAGAGAATCTTCTAATGAATAAATTTATCATCCATTTGAATACATACAGTCGGTTAGCAAATTTCATCACAGCATAATGCCATCGCTTGTCTGGTTCACCTAACACTGCCCCTGCAGCTTGGTCTATCATCTCAGCACTGTTTTTGGAAGTTCACAAAGCTGTTTATATTATTCTATCTATGCTAATGCTAATTGAACTGGCAACACTAGACTCCCTAACACAACTTGTGTAACTCTGGAACTGTAATAGTCTATATAACATTCTTTTGAAGAGAATCAAGTGTAGCTAATGATATTTATTGGTATTTTCTAATCAACATTTTCTTAAACAAATATAAATTTTCAAAATTTGCTAAATTTTGATTCCTACTTCATGACCTAGGACTTTTTTTTAGAATACTATTCTCATTCACTTTAACACGGAATTATCACTTATTGGTTGTTAATGTTAGACGGTGATGAGAACGTAGTCTGATAAAAGCACTGGGCTAGGTCACAGAGCAGTAGATAAGTCTATTAATTATGTGAAAATTAGTTAGTCATTAGTATGATTTTAGTTGAAAAGACAAACACACAAACCTACATGTACTCTGGCATATAATATGCTGTATATAGCAATGGCACCACGCAGTCCTAAAATAAGTATTCCTGTTTCAATGCAGTGAAATATATGAACAATAAAATCATGAATATTCTATTTCTTGATGTTTACACTCAGGACAACTATAAAACACAGTCTGGCCCTCATCAGCACTACGAGTTTGACGTGTGGTATAGGTCATTCCTTCATTACCACAATTAGAACACACTCGGTCAGTTAACGGCCCACTAGTAGCTTCCTCAGAATCCTTCCTACTGTCAGTAATCATATCTTCTATTTTATTAAATGTTAGTTTATATTCAGTTGATATTCCATGGAATTTCTTAAGATCTAGTTTATAACGGCATTTGACACACTGGACAAATTCTTCTTTACTTGGTAACGGTAGGATGGTGCCACAATCAGGACAGAAGTTCAGGTCTGTCTCAAATACACTGCTGGAATCCATTCAGAGATATAATATTATTCAGTCACCATTCAATATATAGCCTAACATTAGATTAGTGACCAAACAACTTCAATAGACTGGAGTCTACAATAAAAAAAATTGATATGTTAATCTTTGAGCAAGGTGTAAAGTTTTTTTTTTAAATTTATATACTTTTTAAGAGATTAATTCAGATTGTCTTTGCATTGATAACAATTTTTATTGTATGTTTAAATTGAAAAGAAACATTTCTCTCCTAGAAATTTCCACCTAAAAAAGTGCCAAATTGTGGCTGAAAATCGTCCTCTGAAAAATCAAATTTTGAAGGCTAAATCTTAAATGTGTGCTCATGTTTAGGCCTACTCTCTGGCCACATTGAGTTCTAAATTGAATTTTTTCTCTGTTAGAAATATTCAAAATATGATTTTCAAGTGCATACCAATTGTCTTAGAATGCCTTTGGGTCCATGAATATATAAGTTTTGAAAATTTGCACTTGAACTGAACACACTTCTCTCCAAGAAATTTAATGTGAAAATGACACATTTTGAACTGAAAATCTCCCTCTGTAAAATCATAGTTTCAAATAATTTTGTTTTCAATGGTTGGCATATTCATCACGCTAAAGACAATCTAAGACTCTCAGCAATATTTGGAGATTAATATTTCAATTCATACAAAAATGATAGCCAAAATGAGATTAAGAACTTGATGTGGCCAGAGTAGCCAAAAGTTTTATCGTAAGTAAAATAATGACTGAAATAACTATGACAAGAACAAGTACTAGTTTAATAACTATTTTTTACAGACAGTATTTTCAAAATACTATTTTGAGATTTGTTTAGATGCCTATCACATGTTTGAATTATAAACTGAAGTAGAGAGCAGATTGCACAGACCTTTCTGTTCAACAGTAAAACTGTGCACTGATTTAACCACGCCTCCACGTGGATATCTTTATTATGACATCCGGGTATTTCATAATGAGGTCAGTTGGGATACTATAAGTTGTAGAATCTTTGATAAAGAAACGAAAATATTATTTATTTTTCAAATGTTTGCAAAGAACTCTGACTTAAGTATTGTTCTGAGATACAAAGGGTCCAAATACACTTTTATAAATATTTACATGGCCTCTTTGGACAATATTTTCTTCAGATTCGTAAATTATATCAATGTGCGTTTCTGTATATATCTGAGTTTGAGTCAAAAGTTGCACACAACCGCGTCTGCAAATGGAGAATTTTCACAGAGGGTCTACGCTTTTTGCTCTCCAAAATTTGATGACTGTAGCCTAAATCTACATGATATCTGTTCAAATTTGGAATAGAAAGATGTCTTAAGGATTAGTGCATCTGAAATAAAAGAATTTTGTGTCGATCAATGTAAATTTGCTTTATATTTTGATGTTGAATATATGCCCATTTTAGCAATAACGTTTTGCAAGCCATATTATAAACACAGCTTTGCATTGAACCTAAAATTAGCTTTTAATGTTCAGGTCATGATGGAAATACATTTGAAAGATACCTTGAGCTGATGGAAACACCTTTTGAGGGTTGTCACTATGTTTTATTGACTGTATTAACCAATAATTGAAATATAAGCTTAGCTTTTGGCTCATACATACCAGACCAATCATAGACCTAATAGCTCTTGCAGCCAGTACAACTACACTAAAACAAGACTTTTAGGGCTTCAATCATGAGATTAATAAAAGCTGTGCTATAGACATTTTAAAAAAAAATAAATGACTTTAGAATTACTTAACATATGCGGTAGTGCCTAACATAAATATAACATTGGTGTGGCCTTAGTTAGATCAGTGAAACAACTCTATCTACATTCAATAACACAGTTCCCTGTCCCATCTCCACAACAAATTTAAAACCATTACATATTTATACAGACCCAGATATTAAATATTCATTATCAAGCCAGCCAATCAATGCACATGCACGTAGTTACTTATAGTTTTTGTTTTGTAATAATGAACATGAATACTATTTGAGTAGGGGCAACTCATCTTGTAGGAAATAAGTTGCTTTGATTGATTAGAATTCACTACTATGCATAACACTTATTTCACGAAAGTGAACAACAAGTCCCATTATATACCGATAATTGAATCCATGGAAGCTTATATTGTTATATTTCTGTAATGGGAAAAATGTATTAATTAGCTAGCTCCACTTATATGTGAGCGCAAATTATTGAATGGTTTAAGACTAGAATAGATTATGTGCTTAGGCATTGAAATTGAATTTTCCCTGCATTTCAGAATTTTAAGATGTAGATGCAGCAATGTCTAATGCTGTCACAACTAAACCTTCTGATCAAACCAGTACAGTTGGTGGACCTGCTGATATAATGGGAACAGCTAAGGGAGATAATGCAACAGCTCCTGATCTGAAGGGACCAGGGCCTGTAGAGAGACAAGACTCGATAACATCCGTACCATCTCCCACTCCAAGTGGAAGTGACCCAGTTCATGATTTACCTCCAGAATTATTGCAAGCTGGATGGAGAAAATTCTGGAGCAAAAGAGAAGGGCGGCCATATTTCTTCAATAAACTGAATAATGAATCTCTGTGGGAAATGCCACAACTTGGCTTTCATGGAAATATGGTAAGAGAAATACACACTTAAAGATTAAATCGAGAGGCACTACTCTTCTTGCAAAAAGTTAGAGTTTGGTTACTGAGCACTGGCACAGATCCTGCAGGTTAATCCATAAGTTTTCAATTTGTTCTATATGCTGATAATCTCTATTTGATGCAGTTTGAAAGTTTGACAAGAAGATAAGTCTGTTGGACCTACAAAAATTTTCATGAACTGGGCAGCCAAGTTATTGCTTCTACCTGGATAAATCTCCTTCTTATACTCATCTAAGTTAGATAAGCCTAATCCACCCTCCTTTGATGAAGTTTTATGTATCTCCTCAATTTTGCCGTTTCAGCATGACCCAATGACAGATCCTCTAGGTATTAACACACCAGAAGGTCATGCTCCATTACCAGCTAGTAATGATCTTAGATTGAGTCGACCCAGCATTGATATACCACCACCCCAAATTGGTGATAAACGGAGAGCTAGTGGTGATATGCCTATTGGTAGTCCTAATAAACGACTAGCTGCATTTAACTACAGGTATTTATTATACAAGAAACCATGGATTAAATATATTTTATCTTTATAGAATTTTTCAGAAGAAATTTTCCTAATGTGGATAAGATATCTATATATAACATTACATTATCTCAATGGATAGTTTTAGTTTTTTATCAATGCAAGCTAATGATTGACTTACTAAATTTTTCACTCAATTACAAACTAATGTGTTTCTTTGAAACTAAACAATAAGTCAATAAGAATAAAGAGAAAAGGATATGTAACTCTTTTATTTTGATGGCTTAAATGTTCATAACCTATAGTTAAGCAAGGTCATTGTTAGTTTCCAAATTTATTTACAAGGCTAAGAGTTTTACTATAAATTTTTGCAATATTTTCTATGAATTTGTTTTGTTTTGCAGCCCCTTTTGGAATTTTGAAATCCCAACCAACTGTGTAATTAATGAAAGAGCACCAGTAAATATCCCAGGACCTTATCCTGATATAGAACAGCTTCGAGCTCAACTTGTTACTAAATTACGCCAGAATTATAATGAACTTTGTTATTCTAGAGAAGGTAAAATTTAGTTGTCAATCTGAAAATAGTATACTATTGATATAAATAAACTTTTGATGCCACACTGAGAGAGAGTTTCTGATAGTGTATAAGCAACGTTTCCATACATGCATGTAGGTAAAGAATTCATATGCATATCATTTGTTGTCTTGATCATCATAGACTGGCTTAATTTGCATTAACACTTTACACGAAATATGTCATTAGTTTGTCAATTAAATTGATAGTAAAAAGGCATTGTTGACCTATAGTAGTGCTTCTGGAACCATTTCAACTTGCTGTCTTTTCCCAATTGCAACAAGATATGAATTTCAGGTTAAAGCATGAATCAAGATTTTTCTCTCATTTTTTTCTATCCATTTGATCAATTCCATATCACAGTATGAGGTTACATTATTTTCAGGTATTGAAGCACCAAGAGAATCATTCAACCGCTGGTTACTAGAAAGAAATGTAATAGATAAAGGAACAGATCCTATGCTTCCGTCTCAATGTATACCTGAAGTATCTCAGTCTATGTACCGTGAAATTATGAACGATATACCAGTCAAATTAGTCAAACCAAAATACTCTGGAGATGCTCGGAAACAGTTATTTAGATATGCAGAGGCTGCCAAAAAGATGATAGAGTCTAGGTATGTATATATATATATCTTTGTCAGGAACCATTTTTACAAGTATAACAACTTAAGAATCCTCTCTAAAATCTTGTCATCACCTTCACAATGTCAAGCTATTACTAACGTCTACCTTGCTATTCTTGAGTGAAATTTTAAATTCAGAAATATCACAATAACAACAAATATTGGTTGTAGGATCATTGTGTGATTGCAATGCTCTAAGCAGCTAGGCTACAGTATATGAGATGAGATCCCAAAAAGGCATTATGGTTTATGGAAATATTTGGGCATAGTTGAGCTGAGCTAGATATAAAGACTTTCAGGTCATGGTATAAGTAGGGTATCTGAAGCTGTGTTGTCATGAAACTGACCTGAATTAACTTGAAATTTATCACTTAATAGGGGTGTAGCTTCTGAAAGCAGAAAAATAGTCAAATGGAATGTGGAAGATACTTTTACATGGTTAAGAAGACAGCAGAATGCTTCTTATGAAGATTATTTGGTAAGTCTCTATAGTTTTCACTTTCTCGTAACGTGATATTCTGGTTGTATTCCGAAATACACTAAGGTGCCCCACACCATAGCCATGTGGTTGCAAATAATGAAAGTGGTCATGAATTCCAAACACAACTCGCAATTCAGTTATATGAGAGTTTCGTTCAAATCTTAAAATAGCTTCTTATTTGCAATCAATTGGTAATGGATATGGTGTGAGAGCACCTTCCTTAAGATCTTGTATAAAATATACTACCGGTACTGAAAGTTATACTACAGCTTCAGTATCTAAACTTTTACTCCAGCAGGAGGTGATCAGAATGTTAAATATTCAAAAAATTTGTATTTCAGGAAAGATTAGCACATTTAAAACGACAATGTCAACCCCATTTAACAGAAGCAGCCAAAACATCAGTAGAAGGTATCTGTAAAAAGATATATAACCAGTCATATGAGATTGTTAAAAAGCTCTCGGAGCGACATTGGGAGATTTTAAAAGAAAACAACATCAATAGTAAGTCATTGGTTTAAGTTAGATATTCTCCAAATGATTTGTCATAATTTTAAAAAGCCAAAATTATGAATAGACATTTTTCCTTGGTTATTCTGGCATCTTTCACGACCCAGGAGGTTGTAACTATAGGCCTTTCTTATATTGTTTTTGGTTTGTCTTGGATTTGAGAGTCAAGCATTTTGGGTTTTTAAGCTTGTCATTGTAGGTCAAATGGAGAAGATTTTAGTATAAGTATTGGACTGTCTATTATGGCCCTATGCTTCATCAGGCTGTGTACAGTTACAATCCTTTGTCCTCATTGAGTACTTAATAGTGTTGACCATGCAATTGATATACTCAACTGATATCTTTTTAAGATAATACTTCAGGAACGTGAAAAGTAAAATTTCTGTGTTTATTATAGAAATGGACCCATTACCAGAACCAACTACACCAAGAAAAGTTTTATGTTATTCAATTCAAGTATCTGTCCCAACTCCACGACCAGTTTTAGTTGAACATGCAACAGAGAATGATATTACTTCCTTACGATATAAATCAGAAACAGTCAAAATAAACAGTTCACATTTTCATAAATTGGTAGGTATACTTGTTTCTTTGCTCAGTGAATTCACCTAGTTTGCTCTTTTGTACCACTTGTTAAATTCCATTTCAATTCCAATTCAATTTCTGCATGCCAATTGCATCTAAATCACTTATAGACATATCTCAATCAGATGAGGTCTTGTAGCTCTGCACCTAACTAATTACATCCTTGATAATAATTATACATAAATTACACTGCTCTAACGAGCAAGTAGATAAAATGAATTCTTTATTATTTTGACTATTTAGTTTTAGTACCAGTAATGTTCAAGTGATTCAGTATGATTTAAAAACTAATCAGATTTTATTATATTTGTAGGAACAATTATATAAATTAAATTGTCGAGACGATCCCAGATTTGACCATTTTTTATGTCGAGTGTGGTGTTTATTACGAAGATATCAGGTTGGTTGATTTTGTAAACTTTCCTTCCCTTGAAGATAATCTTCCTCTTATTTCGTGGTCTCAATAAAGCTCTCTAGCTAGTTATTAGTTAGTTTGCACTGAGAAAAGGTTATTATTAATGTGAATCAACATTCAGACATGAGTTATTTTGAACATCTAGGTATGATTCTGGAACTTGATTAGCTGAATACCATAAATACAAATATTTTAAGATATTTCCAATAAAATTTTAAGTGACTGTTGATATTAAGAATCCTACAATATTCTGTCGTTAGTTGTTATATGTTGTAACTATTATCTATTTCAGACATATTTTGGTATTCATACTAATGAAGGATTTGGTTTACAAGGAGCCTTACCTGTAACTGTGTTTGAATGCCTTCATCGTGTATTTGGGGTCACATTTGAATGTTTTGCCTCACCATTGAATTGTTATTTTCGACAATTCTGTTCAGCCTTTACTGATACTGATGGTTATTTTGGTTCTAGAGGGTAAGGAATTATTCAGAAGATTAGCGTCTTCTTTGCATAATCCAAGAGATACAACAAAAAAAACAACCTTCATTTTAAAAATGAGCTCTTCCAATGATAGATTTAAGCATCATATTGATTGAAAGTATGCATGTGTGGAAGAGTTTAATAGAAAGTTGAAGGATGTCAAGTGTATGACTTGAACACTAATCCAACCTTGACATCATTGTATCACATCATAGCATAATCTGTCTCTAGATGAAATGTTTTCAAATGTGTAAAATAGAATTATTTCTCTTGCAGTGATATATTAAATTTCTTCCCTAAAAGTGGTTCATTTGAAGCCAACCCACCATTCTGTGAAGAATTGATGGAAGCAATGGTGGATCATTTTGAGGTAAATTTGCCTTTATGTGTTCAGGACAACTGGAGATGGTTTCATTGACAATTTCAGACATTGATCTTAACAAATAATAATCTTTCAAACTGTTAACAAGTGTTTCATTTCTAGGGTCTTGTAGCTTAATATTCTTGTGAGATATTGAAATACCATTGGCTATGTTATATATAGAAGATGGTTTTCACCATTGGCTATGTTACATCAGTGTTACCCTGGAAAGTTTGCCTTGCAGTATTCCAACAATGTCCCATTTGTCTGATCCTATTTTTTTTACTGAGAGAAAAACATTTGAGAATAGAGCCATTCTAGGTGCACTCATATTTTGATTTATATTATTTCTTTATTTCAGAATTTATTACATGAATCAAATGAACCGTTATCATTTATAGTATTTATACCAGAATGGAGAGATCCCCCTACAGAGGCTTTAATGAGATTAGAATCCAGCAGGTAAGGGAGATAATTCATTTTTAAACCTCATTTATCTCATTCTGAGACCAGCTACCATATGCACTAAATCTGAACTTAATATATATGGCTAACCATAGAAATGAGTTTTTCAATATGTCGAAAACATATCCATAAAACTAATCTTGAATTTATTGGTGCATTCTTTTAGTTTTAGTATTTCTTTGATATGAATTCTTATCAGGAGTTTTATTAATCCAACCCCTGATTGAAATTCATTTTGCTTTGTTTTTTTATTCAAGGGATAAATGTAGATATAGTTAAATTTATTTTGAAAGGGGAAATATATGTGACTTCATCATATGGAAAGCTGGTATATCAATGAATATAACTTCATCAATATTCATGAACTGACAAAGAGGGTCATAATTATGTTTTATCATATTAATCCCATTTGTTTATGTTATTATTTTATCTTTTCATTACAGGTTTAAGAAAAAACAGATAACCTTTCCAGCATATGAACATGAATATAGAAATGGATTTCAACATATCTGTCCAAAGTAAGTGTTCGATTGTTGAAATATTATGAAAAAAATAATAAAAAAAAAAAAAGGAATAATACGAGTGCTATAATTGTCTGTCTTATGTTTTACCTCCAACCCAATAGTTTGACTATATTTTTATTCTCTATTCCCAGAAATGATATGAGTGTGAAGTCTCTACATGGAACAGTTGCTATCTTCTTACAAAATGATGCTGGTTTCTCTAAATGGGGTCCTACCCCAGAAAGAATTAAAGAATTATTGTTATCATCTAAACCAAGAGATACCGTATCTTAAACTCTCAATATAAACTGTAGTTGGTTAGTCTTCAATAAGAGTTCAAATGGGTGAATCCTGTTGAAATTAGGGCCAGGCGGTATACCAATACCAATATCAGGATGAATACCAGTTAAAGAATTTATATGGTTAATAATATAGCCTCATTTAGAAAAAACAAATCAGAAAATATGGCTATGTCTTGTAATTATCCTGATTACTGAGTTTCCAGAAGTGTTTCGATTCCTGTGAATGGATTTATAATGAGTCTCAAGTTAAAGACCCTAGATGGATAATTGAGAACTCTTTATTATGTGGAATATTCAGTGGAATCATTTTATAGAAAGTAACAATCATACAACTTACATTGTAATTTCATGTTCTACTATCACAATTTCATTCAAATAGTTTCATTTCTTCATACTTCTAGTGTTTGGTGATGCACAACTATCACATACAAATACTGCAAAAATGATTTATATGGTTATCATTGAACAATGATATTAAAGGGACAGTTGGGAGGTTGATTTTAGTCTTGAATATAAGTAGAAGTACTACAAATGTACGAAAATCACATAATTTCTTTAAAATACTTCAAACTAGGAATTTTACTCACTATTTCTATATATCACAGAGTATCTTGAATTGACGAGTCGTCATTTTAACATTCAAATGCGGATAATTTTGGACACTCATGGATTTGACGGCTCAAATTTCGACAGTGAGCTGTGAACAATATTACTGATTAGCTCAGCTAAAAAATTCTGGATTCTGAGACTAAAGTATCATTGGTCAAAAAATTGCCTACCTGTCCCTTAAATGCATATCCAGGTGAGATGAATTAAAATGAGTTGTCCATATTATTTTTTCGTACTTGGATATACATGAATATCTTTGATTGACTATACTAATATTGAAATTGTGTTTGTGTGCTTGGTTTATTTCTACCAGATTTATTTCATACTCTATTGTGTTCTCCACATTTACATAACTCTTTTTACAAATGGATGTCTGTTACCAAGGACAGAGTTGAAATGATAAAGCTGACTTTATTATGTAATTTACTGTGGTAAAACATTTTAAATTCTTACAAATTTTACCAGCTGGAATTTCTATTTTTGATTAAAGAAAATAATCTGTGTGGATATACTGTTAAAGAATCAGGGCCTCGTTTTTTAAAAATTCTAACAATAAAATTTGTCTTGAGTGTGGAATTTTTTAATTGAGAAGAACAATATTTGTGACAAAATTGATTGTTAGACTTTTTGAGGAGTAAATCCTGAAATTTCAAACATTTTGAACCAGATTCATATTAGAACATTGTAACACTGTTTAGGGTTTGTTTTTATTGGGTATGGAAGTGTTAAGTGTTAGATTATTTGTTATTGTGTTATATTGTTAGTGAATTGTGTTCTGGTTTAACTTGATGCAAACTGAGGGTGACTAATTGTCAATGTAAAGTTTATATTCCCATGAAGATGTTAAAGAGTAGAAGCTAAAATGCCTCTTTGTTATTTTGTTGGGCACTTTAAATTTGCCGCCTCGAAGATTTAAATACAAAATCATGAAATTTTTAACTAGCTGATTTAAAGTGCAATATGTTGATAAGATCTGTTTGACTAATTATTTTCAATCAATAGATATTCAACACGATTACCAAATGCTGATTTATTTGTTATATTTTGAAAATGTCTATGTAATTCGTCTTAAAACAGTGTTGATACTGAACGCTATTGTGAAAAGGAAGTGATATCTATAAAAGGGGTCTTTTCAAGCTATTAAGGGCAAAAATAATAATGATTTTACAATATTTACATAAAAAGGGGCCCCATTTTAGAACCGTTCTTGATGTTTGAAGCTAGTGTATACTGCCTATCTAAAACTAAATTGTTTTATTATTAGATTAGTTGTTATAAATGTTATGGACTGTTCTTATTGTTAATGTATAATATGTTTTAAAGTGTTCTACGCAAACTAACCTTGTATATAATATTATTATAGTCCGTCTCAGATGTTTATACACATTCATTTAGGCACATTTTCACAGCCAAAACTATTGATTTTAAGGCAGTTATTGGAATGAACACATATTAGTCCTGCCATTGTTTCACCAAAGTCTTGGTATTGGTAGCTTTATAGTTTTATTTTAAGGCGAATGTTAGATTTAAAATTGGAAGGCTGCAAATCAATGTTATTAGTGTCCCGAAGACACATAGAAAATTTAGAAAGCCTCTTTTCAATCCCTATCATATTTTTGAAGAAACAAGCTAGGCTTAGTTGAAGTTCTACCTATCTTACCCTTGGAAAACAATAGACTGTTCATAGTTTTGTAGTGGACTGTTCCTGTATGTGCATATTTATCTCTATATGACTATATATTGTTAATTTTAAAGAGTTTTAGAATATATCTATCATAGTTTAGACTATCAGTATTTTAGAATCAATTTTAATCATTCATTCACTCATTCTTCAGTCTATCATCTGTATATAATTCATTTCTTTCATTCATTCATCTATGACTAGCAATAATCTCATAAACTGAATAAGTTGAAATGAATTGAGTTGATTTGTCATCTATAATATACAGCATCTGTTTCATGCTATTTTTTATCATGTTATTTTTTATCAATGTTTTTTGGTGAAGTTTTCAACCTGTCTGGTTCTTTGTTATACAAAGAAAGATTATCATAAATAACATTCAAGTCAAAAAAGGCTAGAGAACATTGTGAATCTTCCTATGATTTAAAGATCACTATTTCACTTGATTCTATTTCTTCAACTCATTGTTCCATCATGTCATTTAACCCTATATTTGATTAATTTGTATATAAATCATATTTATTTTTATTTTGTAATTTCACTAGATTTTTATGTTATTTGTCCAATAATTCATTTCTAATTGTTTTTATAAAGAAACATCATTTATTATTCAACTAATGTCTTTTTAATGGCTTTATAGTTGAGGAAAAATATCTGTACACATTATTCTGTGATTCACATACATATAATAATAATCAGTTCACTGAATTGCTATGGTGCTTTTTGCAGCCTTTTGCTGAAGGTACTGGTATGGAAGTTGAGTGAGATTAAGGGAAGACTCAAAGTGTAAACTTGACACTCACTTCATATGTAAATGTATTGTACAGTTTTGAACTGTATGTGGCCTTCAGCTCATAGTTTCCAATATACAAGATATTTCATACAGGGACATGTTCGCCATTCCTTTGACTGAAACGAGAATTTTATGTTCACAGCTCATTGTAAAAATTTAAGACCCAAATTTATGTGTCCAGAATTATGCAAGTTAAAAAGACGAATTGTCTATTCTTTAGACATTGCCATATAGAAATAGAAAGAGAAATCCCTTGTTTGAGGTAAATTTCAAGAAATTTCGTACATTTTTAGTACCTCTGAGGATTCAAGACCCAAATCATTCCCCGAAAATAGCAAATCTGCCTCTTTAAATGAATAATTACCACATATGGGCAGGACTTAACACTTTTGAACACTTCTGACCTCTCTATTAGTAATAGTATTACGTTATACTCGAGGCTGTGGATGAATTTGATGTGTTTGTCAATTTGGTGATATTTTTGGATTATGTCCCTTATTCTATTACTGAAAAATGATGTTTAAAATATTTTAAATTTGCGTATTTATTTTAGCAAATGGTCTAATTGAAATGAAAAGATTGTTTATCAAATAATTTATATATTAACAGTTACAAAACGGATTACATCATAAGTAAAAAGGTTTTTTAAGCATTACAGCTTGTTTGATGCTGTATTTCCAAATGAGTAACCAACCCAGGTTGCTTAGCCTCACAACACCTCACAACAAAGCGATTACCAGCGAATAATGAAAGTGGTCATGGTTACCGAACGTAATCCCCAACCCAGTTTCATGAGAGTTGCGTTCGAAACCTTTGACCGTTATTCTTATTCCTTAACCATTGGCAACTGGTACTGGTCGCTATGGGTGTGAGCGTGACGATCACTTTCGTTTTGTATTCTTATTGGGAAACTATGCTCTGTTTCCGAGACAGCGTTAATGAAAGCAGTGGCAGAGCCAACCCCTCACACCCCCGAAAGCAAATTTTACGGGCAAAAATCTCATAACTAAGTTAGAAATTCGGACAATCTCAGATATATCGCCCCTTCTCGGACGCAAACCTGGCTCCGACACTGAATGAAAGATAATATTTATCAAAGACTTCAAAGATTTGATGGTAATGTATTATTATAAACCAATATTTAAACGTGGTTAATGTATGACGTATTTATATGTCTTCAAAGTAAACTGATAAAAATAAAGCAGCAATATAATTATGGTAACAAACAATATTAAATCCTTAACTCCTGTTATATATTGATATGTATTTATATATCATTGCTTCGTCTCTATCAACTGGTGATGAACGAAAGAACTTGAAAACCACCTGTAGATAGACTTTACACTTTGTAAATTCCTTAACACTATCAATGCTAGCCCAAACCATCAGGAATTGACATAACTTAACCAATAATCTGAAAAGGGGTGAGAAAAATCGCCCGAATCCTTCAAAAATATTGATCTTTCTTCTTCTGCCTCTAATCGAGTAGGGAAAAGCAAACACAATTTTTGGTTAAAATATAAATATGAGGTCTCCTAGTCGCGTGGATGGACAATAAACCAAGACGGGAAGTATATGTTTGCTATAAGTAGGCTATGCGGGGTATAATTAGAAATTTTATATAAAAAAGGCTTATGCTCGTTTCACTATACTTGGCGTTGCCACACATGGTCAAATTAAAGATGGGTTTCCTTATTTTTTTAGTGTCAAATTAAGAAAACTATTTAATTAATTTGTTTTTCTAATGAATTATCATGTAATCTTAATTATATCATTATGTAAGTCTGGATAAACAAAATAAAAGACTTTTTGACCTTTCTTGATCGGTCACTCATTGGAATTCTGCTGATAATTCTCTTCTAATTTAGCTAAATAAGAATTAATTATGGAAATGTGAGACAACCTAGTA